ACATAAAATAAAAAATTTATATCTTTATGTTTGAAGCCTGAAATGTGGCAAAAGGTTGAAAAGTTCAAGGGGGCCGAATACTTTCGCAAGGCACTGTATATACACAGCATTATGTCTGGAGAAAACAAAACACTGCATACCAACACCAAAACCCTATCCCAACTGTGAAGCATGGTGGAGGGAATATAATGGTGCAGGGCTGCTTTGCTGCCTCAGGGCCTGGACGGCTTGAAATTGAGGAACCAATGAATTCCAAGTTGTATCTGTAAATTCTACAGCAAAATTTCAGGGCCTCGGTCTGTGATCGAAAACTCAAAAGAAGTTGGGTCATGCAACATGACAATGATCCAAAACACAGGTAAATCAACAAAAGAGTGGCTGAAACATAAGAAATTCCATATTTTAGAATGGCCAAGGCAGAGTCCTGACCTCAATCGCATTGAAATGCAAAATGCGTTTGGTTGAGCTTATTTGTCAATAAAGGAGGTTCCACTAGTTACAAAATATATGGGTTCATACAGGTTTTCCATCAATGACCTTGATTGTTTAAACCATTTTGCTCAATAAAGATATGGCAATGTATAATGGTGTTTATAATGTTTGTTAAATACAAATATAATCTTTATTTATTATTATGACTTACATGAAGATCAGATCACATTTTAGGACCCATTCATGCAGAAATCCATATAAATCGTAAAGGTTCACAAACGTTTTCTCACAACTGTATATATTTATTGCTTTGGTTGTATTATTTATTATGTCGTAATGTACTGTCTACATTGTGTAGTGTTGTCTGTTGTACTGTGAATGTTCCGAGATCAATGCGAATACAAAATTCCAGTGTATATGTACGCATGGCAATAAACTCCGCTACTCTAATGTATTTCAGTCGCAGTTCTAGAGTTTTTCTTTACAAGTCTGATGATTAATCACCAACTGCAGTTGTTTTTCTCAGCCAATCTGGTTGTTGCTGATTGTTAAGTACATCAGTAGTTGTTGCCGATTGTTAAGGATTCCCCCTCACCAAATATTCCAAATTATTCATTTTTCTACACCCATTTTCTGTGCTGTGGTTCCGATTATATTCCTTTGTTCTTTCAGAATCCAAATTGCTCATTTTTTTCCGCATTCAATTTTAACAGGAACAGATAAAGGCTTATTCCATGCTGTAAGGAAAAGAAGAGAGACAACGTTTCTGTCACGCCCTCTGCAGCCAGCTCCTACCCTGTCCTGTCCCTAGTTTCCTGTTCTTTGCTGTCCTTCTGGTGTCTCTCTCTCTCTGGGGCAATATATTTCCATCCATGGTTTCTATACGGCAATTCCTGAACCCTTGCGCTGCTGAGCTTGGGCTAACTCCCCATTCCGCTGCTGAGCACAGGTCTTTTCCGCTCTCCTGCTATTCCACAGTTCATCACTTCTGACATCTGTGACAGAATGCTGAGCCATCTCCGACCCCGCAAGCGGTGCTTTTGTCTTTCCGCGGCTTTTTCCTTTTTCGCTGGGCTTTTTTTTTCAGCTCTTCTATACTAATCACGGGATGCTACTCCTGACTTCCGTGCCTGTGAATGGGTCATTTAGTGGTATGCTGTTCCGAAATCCGTTTACGAATACCTAGCTTTCCTCGAGTTGTCTCTCCCGGTTTTCAATTCAATTCAATTCTGCGATTGAATGTTGAGCTGGGTCTCCTATCCTCATTGGTGGATATCAATCTGGTCTTCTGTGCCTGTGAGTGGGCCGTGTGCTTGGCTTTCCTCAGGTTGATCACTCCGATATCAGTGATAGGGTGTTGAGTTTTTTTCCCCGCTTTCCTATTCTTATTATGGGATTTCACTCCTGACATCCGTGCCTGTGAGCGGGTCTAGCACCTGGCTTTCCTCGTGTTGTCTATTCCGATATCAGTGATAGAATGTTGAACGTGTTTTGCCCAGTCTGTGGTATTTTTCCTGGGTTTTTGTGTTTTTGTTTGGTTTTGATTTTTCACTTCCTGGTTTCCCTTTCTCTCTGGTCCCCCTAAACTCTGTGTAATGGAACTTTTGGTTCCTATCTGTTTTTTGTAGTTTGTCACCCTGGTCTCCCAGGTTTACTTTTGTGGTTTATGTTTGTATACTTGCATTTTTTGTTTTAAGCCTCCGGCGCCTCTACTTGACCCCCTCTTCCTCTACCCAATAAAGGTTTTTACCCTGGAGGAGGAGGCACTTCTCAGCCATGACCTTCCAGAGGTTTCCTTTTAGTTAAATGAGGTTCCCCCCCCCCCCCAGTGCTGTGCAGCTCATTTATTTGTTGGGCTTCAGGAGCCACCCATGAAGGGGGGGGGTACTGCCTCCAGAGGGGGCTCCTACCCTGTCCTGTCTCTAGTTTCCTGTTCTTTGCTGACCTTCCGGTGTCTCTGTCTGGGGCTATATCTGTCCGGGTCATCATTCCCCTTCGCTCAGCATTGACGTTCGGATGTCCTGAGACCCGCCTAGCACCAGGCCGCTGTTCCATCCGTGGCCTTAGGGCATAGGTTTCTATTCGGCAATTCCTGAACTCTTGCACTGCTGAGCCCGGGCTAACTCCCCATTCCGCCGCTTTGCATAGGGTCTTTCCACTCTACAGCTATTCCACGGTTCGTCCCTTCTGACATCTGTGCCAGTTTCAGCTGTGGAACCTTCTACAGGTGTCAGCCAAAATGTTGCGTCTCTTTTTGTTACAGCATGGAATAAACCTGCATGGAGTTTGCATGTTTTTTCCATGTTCACATGGCTTTCCTCCCATAGTCCAAAAAAACATTCCAGTAGGTTACAGAATGAATGGGTGTTGTACTGGATAAAGTTGTTGAAAATGGATGAACCAGTGCATTTATAATTGTTAAAACATTCCAATTTAAATACAAAAAAGAAGATTGAATATCTTCAAAATGTGTTTACTTAACATATACAAACATTTTAAAATATTACTGATGTTTGTATGTGTGATCCTGTAGTTTTTCCAAAGTTGTTTAACAGATGTGTGGCTTGACAGACACATTGAAAGTTTAAACATTGCTTGAATTGCCTAGTTTTTCTTAAAAGAAAAGGATTCAGTGAAAAACTTATTAGAAACATTTTTGGCTTAAAAAAATAATCAGCTACAAAGTCAGAAGGCAATTGATAGTTAAAGCCTTTTTAAGAAAATGTAATTGTTTGCTAATGTTTTTTAGGCTGAAACAGCAACTCTTGTGGTTTTTGGAGAATTTTTTCAACCTTTTACACAAATACATAAAAAACTTACTGAAGTTATCCATTTGACTTATATCTGTTGTAACTTAATACAATGGCAAATACAACTGCGATTCTAATGTTTATCACCTAATATTGCGAGTCATGCATGGGTATTGTTGGTTGGGTGTACACTATTGCTCACAGGTTGAGTCTAAGCACAATGAAAGAAATATGCATGTGATGTGCTGATGTTAGTAGTTTTATTACATTATTTCTCAATAGCATTCCTATTTTTTCTTTGGCCCTAAAAACAATTTCTTCACACAATGTACTGTAGTTTTAAAATGTCAGCCATGTGAATTGAATACACAAATGACTACAATTCCCGATGTCATACATGAAAATCATGTAAAGTAAAGCTGAATCAATAGCCAACAAGTCAATGAACTGCGGTATGATTAGTATACTGTACAAATATACTGTATAGACAGTATGATACCGTTTGGTTTTCAAGACACTACAGTACGTGTTTCTAATTACTTGCTGATTAAATTAACATTAAGGAAATAGATTTTAATGTGGATGTGCCTGAAAAAGCAGATCATGTTCATGAGTTATAATATTAAACTATTTTTCATATATCTAGTGGAGTAATTTTGCTTTGTAAAACACCCCTACTTTCTTTAATGTGAATCTAATATGTAACATTCTATAATATATAGTATGAAATCAATAAAAGTAAAAACACTATACAAATTAAATTATATAACTGAAAATGATTGTCTCTACAGAGCTGAACATTGACCGGGAATTGAAACCAGGCATTTCACACAACAACACAGAATACTTCCACACATTAAATTCAACACAGAATTACTTCCACATTAAGCAATCACTGTGCCACTTGGTGGTTTTACGAAGAAGTGCAATCATGCATCAGATTAATTAAAAAAAACATATGTATGATGGATTCTAGCACATTATTTGTAGTGTATTATGAATAGATTGATCTTTATGTGCATCATCAATGCAACAGGAAACACCTGACCAACAAGAAACACCTAGTGGTCAATTGTCCCAATACTTACTGTATACTCACCTGAAATCAGCTCATTTAACACAAAAAGTGCTAGTATTCTAAAACAGTACAACATATAAGCTGAGAAATACCCAGAAATAAAAGGTGACATGCTCTTTTGCCTCCCAATTCTTGTCCCAATTCTCTCAATACTTATGGAGGGCACTATATATTTCTTAGAACTGTGTCTACAAGGCTCTAAGAATGACCTAATTATGAAAAAGGCCTAACCCCACAAAGGTCTTTTTACACAAAGTGTTGTGGGTGTCTGCGACAAGTTACCCAGCCATATTGCCAAAGCCAATTCTAAAAAAGAATTATATCAAATTAGCTACTGGCAGCAACATTAGCCAGATGGAGTTTTTAATTGTAACTGTCTTATATACTTATGACTTTGTGTTACAGCTTTTGTACGTTCTAAGTGTTCTAGGATTTTTTTCCCCTAATTAAATTAAAGAGACAAAACTCACATCTCCCTGTGCTGCTCGGCCAGGTTGTCACCAAAGTGTCTGTCGACGTCCTGGGTTTCATGGCGTTGTTGACGGTGTTTATTCCTCACGCTCAGGCAGATGGAGAGCAGCAGCATGGCTACACCCGCGCCCACCAGCACAAATGCCACTGAAGAGGTCTTGCCTTTAGTGTCCATCGAATCATCTACAGGCTTCCCACTGCTGCTATTACTACTAGCAGCACTGGAAGGCACGACACTCCACACAATCATCACAATGCCCAGGGCAATGAGGCCCACACCCAGTGCACACAGGGCATACTGAGATCCACTGGAACTGCCCCCATTGCTTGAGCTCCGTGACACTCTCCCACTCGGGCCACACAGGCGCCCACTGGAACACATCGCTCATGCGTCAAGCCTCCCTCTGCCAAGCTGCAGCCTGTGGGCACAAGATGTAGAAAAATTACAGAAATGCACTGTAGAAAAAACCCTTTAGCAGCTAACAGTTTTCCTTAAACAGACAAAGGTTTTTGAATCCTAATTTAAAGATGAACATCCTTGACAAGTTATCATTTTGCTACAGGAATCAATTATTTCTGTACCCCTTCTAAGAAACTGCTCCAAGTGGCTCAATGCTATCATTTGCCAGAACAGGAGGGAAACATTTTGAGGTAGCCCCAAATGAAGAACAAAAGTATGATGGTGAAAGCTCTCAGGAGTCCATCAAGTCACAGTGAGCACAAGAGATGTGCAGTTCAGGTCTTTTTAGTTTACCAGTTCATGTCAATATTTTCATAAAACACCTAAAAATATAGAATACAGACAATTTAGTAGAGGAGAATACAACCACTTCGTCTTATACAGTTGTATACAGTATAAACTGTATTATACAGTTGAGCAGTGCCAGACACACTTATCATGGGAGGCACTGATGCTTGTTTAGGTTATGCAGGCAGAGGCAGTTGAGAAACATTCTTCATTAGTGGACAGCAACTAAGTCTGAACAGGGAATCAGGAAGTGCCTGTTGCTCATTGTCCAGGCACCTGACTTGTGTAAGTCATAGCTGTCAGTGGGCTACCGTTACGAGTTTAAAAAAACATCTACCTAGTTGGAGAACTTATTCAACTTTAAGATCCTACTCAAAGGAGTCTCTAAAGTTATGAGTTAAAAATTGTTAAAAATAATAAAATCAATTATTCATTTTATAAAACATTTCTTTTTTATGGGGGCACATAACTGTTATTCTATCATTACCCACAAGCTAAGACCTCTCACTGACTGAGTATATATAGAACTATAGGTCAACAGGTTTCACTAATGCTCTCTTCATTGTGCTTTCATCTGTAATTATTCCATGACACTATTCAAATAAATCCATGGGGTGCACGTCAACTTACACGTCAACTCTCCTTTGCAACTTTTCTGTGTTCACATCATGTATCACACTGGATTCTCACTTCAGATTACTAGAATTAAGTCCCTCGATCCAAACTAGGATGTTTATTTTCCAACAAAGGATATACAAAAGAAATGGGAATGCTCAAAGTGCTTAATTTGTCAAAAATATAATCTCATGAAAAACAATAAAAAACAAAAATGTAGTGGGATAGGAATATTCAGAAACTAGAAAAGTAAATTTTCATGGTTAATGGCCGAGTGTTACAATGAGTGATGGCTCAAGTGGTCTATTAGAGCAACTTAAATGAAGAGAATCAACATTACTTCTAATCTGTCCTTTCTTTACACTATTCTCATTTGATGAGTTGAGTGCATCAGCAACCATAGCACGACATAGAACGTTGCAATTTCCTAGTTCACACTCGAGGGAGGATTCAGGTGGGAACATGGTGATGGATGCCTGCCACAGTCTGTTGGGGAACGTTTTGCTCTAACTTCTCCTTTTTCCCCTCACAGTTTACACAAGGGAAGTGATCCTTTTGAGCATTTACATGCATACAGAGAATTACTATTCATAATATTGCATTGATACTTCCTTATTTTCCCTAGTTGACTATGAGTTAACAAAGAATGAAAGTAGTGCAGAATTTCAGGCTCACCAGGGTCTATTAGAGCAAACCTTTGTTTTAATGGACTTTACAAAATCTGGTAAATTGTGGCTTTACCTGCAAATCGGACACTACTCTGTCTCTTTAAACGTGTCATTTATCATTTGCATTCTTTTAACAAACATCTAAATAATATTCAGTACATTTTATTATCCTCCACCATCATGTTCAGTAATTACATGGGAGGTGTGCAATAAATAAAATAAAAATTACTTGGGTGCTTCCTTGACATGATTGAAATATGGGTTACTCACAATTGTCAGTGAAAAAGCACTGTGTAACAAAAGTGTAACTCAAAGTAAAATTGAGTGCATATTGTGGGCTGATAAACCATGGACCAGCACTACTTGCTCTTTATGCAAATGATGACACACAGGGAGGCAACCACTGAAGGGTGTGATCCACCAATGCCCACTGCAGCCTACTGGGGAACAGTCATACTATAACTCCCCCTTTTACACATATTCTCCTCTAAGAGGAGTGTTGACGTGTGCCCCCTCATCAAGGAACTTTAGAAATTCAAGGTGTTCAATATCATTTTCTTTCCCCACACTGAAGACCTCCGATTCCTTCACTTGCAGTATCCTAGGCTGGAATCCTGTACTCCTGATACACCACTTTCAGTATGATCACACAAGGCCTTTATCTTCTTACACCTTGGTCCTTTCCATGACCCTCAAGGCCCTAGTAACACTACTAAGCCCTTTGGTTGCAGTAACCAAGGCTCAGCAGTCCTCATAGCACTCAATCTTATCATAAGTCCCTTTCAGAAAGTAGCTGTGGAATGTCCCTCAACTTATTCATTGCCAATTAGTACTCTACTGCTCACCATGCACATAAATCTAATGCACTCTTTACCTTACCTGTTGCCTGACATGACCAAGGTTGCTACTTTCAGGGAGCCTTCCCTTGATCATGATTCTCTCTCTAGGAGGCTTCCTGCTCTACAACACCACCGTCCTGTTGACAACACTCACAGGGCTCATTCGTGTCCTTCTGTGGATTCTCATTTCATGGAAACTCCTTTACAGTGGATATAAAAAATCTACACACCCTTATTGAAATTGCAGGTTTTTGTGATGTAAAGCCAAAAATCAAGATAAATCATGTCAGACATTTTTCCATCTTTAATGTTACCTTGCAACCAACACAATTCAAGAGAAAAACAAATAGATTATTATTAGGAAAAATGATTAAAATTAAAAAACCTACAACACCTTAGTTGCATAAGTGTGCACACCCTTTTATAATGGGGGCTGTAGCTATGTTCAGAGTTAACCAATCACATTCAAAATCATGTCCAAAAGGTAAGTAGCATACACCTGCCATCAATGAAAGTGATTCTGATTAACCACAAATAAAAATCAGCTGTTCCTGTAGGATTTCCTTGAAACGTTTGTGGTTGCATCCTACTGGGATAGCCATGGTCCGCAAGGAGCTGACAAAACACCTACGGGATCTTATTGTTGAAAGGTACCGATCAAGAGAGGGGTATAAAAGAATATCAATGGCATTGGATGTACCATGGAGCACTGTGAAGACCATCATCAATAAGTGGATAAAATGCGGCACCACAGGGACATTGACAAGAACAGGACAGCCTTCCAAAGGAGAAAACGTATCAGAGAGGCTACCAAGAGGCCTACAGCAACATTAAAGGAGCTGCAGGAATTTCTGGCAGGTATTGGTCACTCCTTGCATTTGACAACAATCTCCCATATTCTGCAAATGTCTGGGTTATGGGGTAGGGTGGCAAGATGGAAGCCAGAACATCCAAACCTGTCTAAATTTTGCAAAAAAAGATACATTCAGTCACCCTTATATGTGGGAAAATGTCTAATAAGACAAAGGGTGATTTTTTTTTTTTGGGTGTTGTAGGTTTTTTTAATTTCCATTATTTTTCTTAATAATGATCTATTTGTTTTTCTCTTGAATTTTGTTGGTTGCAACATCACATTAAAGATGGAAAAATGTCTGACATGACTTATCTTGATTGCTGGCTTTACATCACAAATACCTGCAATTTCAATAAGGGTGTGTAGACTTTTTATGTTTTATACTTTATGTATGACTCTTATACCTAATGGAGTTGCCATGGGCAACAGGATAGGACCTAGCTATGCCAATATTTTTGTCGGCTGGGTAGAAGAATGCTTCTTTGGTTCCTATACTGGCTTTGTCCCTGACCTCCACAAGCGATACATCGATGACTGCGTTGGTGCTGCTACATGCTCTGATGACCAGCTAGAGCACTTCCTGCATCAATTCACTAACTGTCACCCATCCCTCAAATATACAGTTAACATCTTCCACAACTTTTCCGTTTCTAGACAAATATTTATCCATTAACCATCCATGACTCTCTACCTCGGTCTATTACAAACCCACAGATTCACACAGCTCTTTTATCCCACTCATCTCCCCTTGTCACAGTTCCTCAGGCTATGTCAACTCTACAGTGATGACATGGATTTCCAGAACTAAGCACTCAAAATGCATTCTTTTTTCCCCATCAACAGAGGATACCCTATCCAGGTTATCGATAGGGCCCTCACCCAGGCCAAAAACAGCCCTAGGATTATCAATTCGGTCAGGAACTCCTGGTCTCACAACTACATTCCCTTGGTGCTTCCCTACCACCCTAACACTTTCTATCCCCAGGACCATCATTAACAACTACTCCATTTTACAGGACGATCCATCGGTACCCTTTTTCCGACTGCCCAATCATTTCTTACAGCTTCCTTGACCGCACTCGGCAATCATCCCCACCAGGCACTTTCCCCTGCAACAGAACTCACTGCATCACCTGCAAATATATATGTAGCAACACGCTCATTCAGGGCCCCTCAGGTCAATTCCGGATCACCCCGATGACATCCTGTACCTCCAGCAACCTCATTTACTGTATCTCTTGCCAAGCTATCTACGTTAGGGAAACTGGAAGGAGACTAGGAGACCGCTTCAGAGAACATGTTAGGGCTATGAAGATGAAAGATTTCTCCAAGCCCATAGTTTCTCATTTCACCTCAGACGGCCATGATCACACTGATCTCTTTTCTCCATTCTTAAAGAAGGGTTTCTCAACTTCCACAGCAGAAACAAAACTCATCCTGAAATTAGGTTCACACCTTCCCCCTTCTCTCAATGATAGACTTATTTTTGTGTGATCTTCTCTGTTCTAATGCAGGTTTTGACTTCACACCCCTCTCCACTTTGCACTTCCTGAGTGGCCTCTCTGCCTCTCCCACCTCCTCCACTTTTCCAGCTTTTGTTCTCCTGTGCTATTTATCTTATCGTCTCCCCTTTCTTTTTCACACCTGAAGAAGGCTCCATGGCCGAAACATTGTTTCCTTTCTTTACAGCATGGAA